TAAATAGATGTCGCCTTATTGCTATAATAAAGCCCTTCCTACACCCCGATATACCTCATTAGTAAACACGTTATGCATATTATTTCCACTTTTCGAATACTTTCTTAATTGAAAGCAAATGCCTTTCTGATCTGATGTGTGATAAAGTTTGAAGAGCAAGTTCGGCAAAAGGCGTTTTGAACGTGCATCGATCGCATTAAAAGCTATCCTACTTGTATGCATCAACAGCTACCCCACTGTACATGAGGCATCGTTTTTAATTTTGTGTGGCTGAATCAGACATTGCCCTTAAAAAGACGAGGTGCCGTATTTATTAAAGAGGAGCTCCGTTGTGTTGTGCACGGCTTTTGCCACCGTAGTACGAACAACAGACTTCAGTCTTGGACAAAACGTGTTGTGTGTATGTTTGTTTTCATAGTTTTTTGTGTTTTCAGTGAAACATTACCTGCACTAGCTTAGACTAAAGCAGACACACTCCCAGAGTTCAGTGCTGTGGTTGTGGTTGATGACAAACAGATCAAACACTACAGTAATGAAAAACGAGTCTGGATTGTGACTGAAGATGACTGGACTGAAGCTCCTGAGGAACCACCTGATTCTAGAGACTGGTTCATACATCAGAACAGGACTCTGTCAATCTGCGCATACTCAGAGTGTTCTGGTGAGTTTAGTGGTTTCTCTTGTTAATTAATTATCACACACTTTATGAAACTGCATATATTCATCTACAAATGTATACATAATGGAGAGAGTAAGTTCATACTGCAAATTTCCATGAACTCATAAGTTCCTCATAAATGTTGTTCTGTGATTGCAGAGCTCCATGTTCTTCAGAGAATAATTGGCTGTGAACTGAAGAAATGTCTTAATGGAACAATGACAAATCTGACTGTCTTTGACAAATATGGATTTGATGGACAGGATTTTATAGACTTTAGTTCCGATGCTCTGCAGTGGATTGATAAAAACCTCAAAGCCAAAGAAACTGAAATGAAATGGGATCGGCAAACAGAACGCATTGAACTCCTGCAGCATTACCTCCAGACCTGCATGAACTGGATCTCCACATTTAATATCACACAAAAGAGTAAGTTCTAATTGCATCATATTAATTAAAGTGCCCTTATTATTCTTATTTACAGGTTCATAATCTTGTTTATGGGGTCTACTAGAACATGTTTACATCATTTAATGTTAAAAAATAATGGATTTAGTGGATGCTGTGTGTCTGTGTGTCCTCTCCATGTGCAGCGTTATCTTTTATTCACCTTCATGTTGTTGACTTTATTTCTTCTGTGCAACATGAAGATAAATAATGTTTTTCACAGCACATAGAACCAAATTATTTTGAAATATTACTTTGTTTTTTTCATTATGACTTTATGCTTTCTTTTCCAGCTCCACCAGATGTTCATGTCTTTGCAGTGAAAGCTCCTGATCAAAGCAAGCTGGTTCTGAGCTGTCTGGCCACTGGTTTCTACCCCAGAGATGTTGAGATGAACATCAGATTGGACAGAATTAACACTGAAAACAAAACATTATCTGGAGTCAGACCAAATGATGATGGATCCTTTCAGATGAGAACCAGTGTGAAGATCGACAGAAACCACAAAGGATCTTATGACTGTTTTGTCATTCACAGCAGCCTGACAGACTGTCTGGTCATTCACAGCAGTCTGACAGAACCAGCTTCAACAAATTGGGGTAAAATCCCAATTCAGTCTTGTGTGAATGTGTGAATGGCCTTTATACAGCAACACTGCTTCTGCGTGCATTTATACATGCAATACAATTTTTGTATTGCATGTATAAAATATGAAACAAATAATACTAGTC